AGGGTTTCTTAAGTATGGGAGTGATGTTTGCGTGTTTTAGAGGGGAGGGGAAGGTACCGGTGGAGAGGGAAAGATTGAAGATGTGAGTGAGGGAGCATAGGATGGAAGAGGAGGAGGACCGCAGGAGTTGTGAGGGGACAGCGTCCAGGGCGCAGGTGGTGAGGCGAGTTTCGGAGAAAATCTTAGTGACCTCTTCGGTGGTAGTAAGGTCAAGGAAGCAAAGTGTTGAGGGGGTTATTGTGTGAGGAGTGCTAAGTGGGATGAGTGTCTGAGCAGTGGCGAAGTCCCTACGAATTGCGTCAGTCTTGTTTTTGAAGTGGTTGGCAATCTCGTGGGTGGTAAGTAAGGTACTGGGCGGAGGTGGAGGTGGAGAAAGTAGAGAGTTAAAAGTGGAGAAGAGCCGGCAAGGACTGGAGGAGAAGGTATTGATGAGGGTAATAAAGTAGGCCTGTTTGTCAGCGTGAAGGGAGGAAGTGTACGTTAAGAATGCAGATTTATAGCTGGTGAACGCTTGTTGGGATTTGGTTTTACGCCATAGTCGCTCCAGTGCATGACTATGTCGTTTGAGGTTTCTGGTGTCGTCAGTCTGCCAGGGTTGTAGCAGTCGGGGCCTAATGCTTCATGTTGTTGGGGGTGCGAGCGAGTCTAGAGCTGCTGAAAGAGAGTTGTTATAGACAGTAGTGGCTAGGTCAGGGCAGGGCAGGACAGGGGATGGATGCTGTCGTAAAGTTGGTCAGTTGCAGACTGGAAGGGAGCAGGGTTTCGGTTCCGGAGGTTTCTGTTGGTAATTGTTTGCCGTTTGGATGGATAGGTGTTTGAGGACGAGGAGACGGAGAAGGTAATGAGGTTTTGATCGGAGAGAGGAAAGGGGGTGTTTGTGAGGTTGCAGGGAGTGCAAAGGTGAGAGAAGACAAGGTCAAGAGTGTTCCCGTCAGAGTGGAGGACTGTATGCACTGAGCTAGTGCAAAAGAAGAGGTTATGTGGAAGAGTTGGGATGTAGCCGGGTTATTGATGTTGATAGGGATGTTGAAGTCTCCAAGAATGATAGTGGGTAGCTCAGAGGAGAGAAAGAAGGGTAGCCAGGCGGCGAAGTCATCAAGAAAGCGGGACACGGATCCAGGAGGCCGGTAGATCACTGCAACCCTCAGAGAGATTGCAGAGAATAACCGGATGCAGTGGGTCTCGAAGGAGGAGAAGGATAGAGAGGGAGGGTTAGGGAGGACTTGGAAGTTGCTCAGTGGTGACAGGAGCAAACCAACCCCACCACCTTTTCGACCACTGGGTTTGGGTGAGTGGGTCCAGATGAGACCTCCATAGGAGAGTGCTGCGGGGGAGGCAGAGTCTGTTGCTTGGACCCAGGTTTCGGTGATCGCTAGGAGGTTAAGGGAGCGGGATACAAAGAGGTCATAGATGGAGGTGAGCTTTTTGCAGACTGAGCGGGCGTTCCAGAGTGCGCATGAGAACGGGAGGGTAGTTTTGGGGAGCAGGGGGACAGATATAAGATTGAGGGGGTTGCGGCAGTTTATGGAAGAGAGAGGATGTTTTGTGCGTGGGCGAGGTAAGGAAATAAGTTTATCTTGGTCTCATCAGACCACAGGACATGGTTCCAGTAATCCATGTCCTTAGTCTGCTTGTCTTCAGCAAACTTTTTGCTGGCTTTCTTGTGTATCATCTTCAGAAGAGGCTTCCTTCTGGGACGACAGCCATGCAGACCAATATAAAACAGAGTGCCGCGTATGGTCTGAGCACTGACAGGCTGCCCCCCACCCCTTCAACCTCTCTGCAGCAATGCTGGCAGTACTCATGCGTCTATTTCCCAAAAACAACTTCTGGATATGACGCTGAGCACGTGCACTCAACTTCTTTGGTCGACCATGGCGAGGCCTGTTCTGAGTGGAACCTGTCCTGTTAAACCTCTGTATGGTCTTGGCCACTGTGCTGCAACTCAGTTTCAGGGTCTTGGCAATCTTCTTATAGTCTAGGCCATCTTTATGTAGAGCAACAATTCTGTTTTTCAGATCCTCAGAGAGTTCTTTGCCATGAGGTGCCATGTTAAACGTCCAATGACCAGTATGAGAGAGTGAGAACGATAACACCACATTTAATGCACTTGCTCTCCATTCACACTTGAGACCTTGTAACACTAATGAGTCACATGACCCCGGGGAGGGAAAATGACTAATTGGGCCCAATTTGGACATTGTCACTTAGGGGTGTACTCACTTTTGTTGCCAGCGGTTTAGACATTAATGGCAGTGTGTTGAGTTATTTTGAGGGGACAGCAAATTTACACTGTTTACAAGCTGTACACTCACTACGTCACATTGTAGCAACGTGTTATTTCTTCAGTGTTGTCACATGAAAAGATAGAATAAATTATTTACCTGAATAAAATAAAAATAAATGAGGTAATGTGTGTTGCGCACAGCAATGCCTGGAACGGGCCCGGAATCCAGAATATTATTATATTTATTTTCCAACACTGGCATAAAAAAGGCGGTAAAAATAGTGTTAGTGTAAGATCTTGTATTTCTGAGTTCATACATTTTTCTTGTATCTGTATTTTTATATCAGCCTGGGTTAGTGGCCTTCACACTATCAGACGTCAATGTCTGCCATTTCAGAGAACTGGGAGGTAGACATGAGATCACACAGAAAGTTCATCCCCTGCTCCTCTCAAATAGTACAATAGTCCAACGACAAGCTGTCTGACTGAAAATACAACCGCGGTACATAATAAGCACAGCCCAACATTCCGTCTGCGACCAATGCCAACGTAAACCAATTGCGCATGCGCCCTCGTTCAGCACTCGGCTCTTCTATTGGCAACGGGGCATGCGCGTCAGTGGGCGCGCGTCGCCAGTAATTACTTCCTACGCGAGAACTATTGGCTGGTACGCGGTCCCGTAGTATGGTGTGTCCCGAGTGATGCCGGTGTCGGTAAGTACCGGACGGGTTGCTCAGGCGTTTACTTATCAGTATAATGTCCAGAACTCTGACCGTGGTCCCTTCCTTTTCTCACACGGTGCAGGCCAGCCACCCCGAGCTCTATTAATGAGTGCTGGTAGTGATGTCATGGAGCTGAACCCCAGGCAGTGAATGAGGGCTCACCACCTCTTCCAATGACAACACTGGGGCTGTTGTCCCTAGCAACCACTGACCTATACACACTACAGCCATTGTCCCTAGGAACCAGTGATGTAATCACACAAATTCGACAGCCGTTGCCCCTAGCAACCTATGACATACTCTACAGCTGTTGCCCTAGCAAACAAGACACACACTACAGCCGTTGTCCCTAGAAAACAATGAGAAACACATTACAGCTGTTCAGGGGCGGACTGACAACTCATGGGGCCCCCGGGCACTAGGGGATCATGGGGCCCCTGTGTCCTTGCCCAAACTCAAAAAAGCCTATGAAAAAGGCACCAGGGGCATCTCATGGGGCCCCCACTGACCCCAGGCCCTCGGGCAGTGCCTGAGTTTCCAAATGGTCAGTCCGCCCCTGCAGCTGTTGCACCTAGCAACCAAGATTCACACTCTACGGCTGTTGCCCCCTAGTAACCAAGACGCTCTACAGCTGTTTCCCTCGCAAACAAGACACACACTACAGCCATTGTCCCTAGAAAACAATGAGACATGCCCCTAGCAACCAAGATACACTCTCTACAGCTGTTGCCTCTAGCAACCAAGACACACGCTACAGCCGTTGTCCCTAGCAACACATGGAGTTTATTATTCCCCAAAAAAAACTAAATCGTCTATGCTCTTTGGTTGTCTAAGCTGGCTGTACTTTAGGACAATTTCTTTCAAAATTTTCAATTTTCCAAAAAGTTTGGTTATAGAATCAACAGTGGGGTCAAACTGAAGTTCCTTTTCAAGCACAGTGCCCAAAAAAAATTTGAAGGAGCAGGATGGAAATGTTTTTCTTGAATGCGTTTCTAATGGGGTATGTGGCTTTCTTTCAGTAAGTTCAAAAAAATAGGTTGTGCTTAAATACATGCAAAAGTATAACAAGAAAATAAATAACGAAACAATATTTTAAATCAAAATAAAATCCAGCAAAAACGAAAAAGTCCAAAAGTTCAACTCATTTGATTTTTTGCACTTTTTCGTTTTTGCTGGATTTTATTAAGATTTAAAATATTGTTTCTTATTGTTTTGTTATTTATTTTCTTGTTATACTTTTGCATGTATTTAAGCGCACCCTATTTTTTTGAAGTTTTGTATATCCTCTAAGTTTATAGGCTAGGTTTTGCAGCTTACCGTTTTATATAATTTCCGTGGCGCTGGTTCTTTATATATATTTCTTTCAGTAAGGTCCGCTCTTTCTTTTGGACAACATTCATCAAGTGATCGAATGTGCTGAGAATTTTCACATGAACTTTCAAACGAAAATTTACTGGTGGATGGCCAGCTAAAAGGGTCAGTTCACCTTTACCAGAAAACTGCCTATGCAGATGACGGACGTCTGTAGATGAAAACAAATTGCGCAGCCCTCACCAAATTTGAATAATGCCCTTACTGTAGTTGCAAGCTATTTACGTACTTCCTGAAGCCTGACTGGAATACTCCCAGTATGTTGCTAAGTGAGGCCTGGCTGTTGCTGGTGACCTTCACCATAACAGTAGCAAGCTCCTTCTCTGGTTCAGACCCCCTCACATGCTCTTTCTCTCCCCTGATGCTGTAGCTCTGAGCTCAGTGAGAGCTCCTGTGATGGTGAAGATGAACAGTAACACTAGGCTTCTCTTACCATTGTCCTTAGCAACTTCCTAGGAGTTTTCTAGTCAGGCTTCATGAGGTATGTATATGACCTACACCTATAGCAAGGGCATTATTCAACTTTTGGTGAAAGCTGCAGAGTTTCTTTTTATCTACAGCCGCCTGTTATCTGGAAATGCAGTTTGGTAAAGGTGAACTGCGTCTTTTTTTCATTAACCACCTCCCGTTTGGCCGTTGTATATAAACGGCTGGACGGTGGCAGTGCAGGGTCAGGTGGCCGCTATCCGGTGCCCGCTGTGTCTTCTGAACACCGATCGTCGGACGGGACCTCTTTGCGAGGTCCCGATCATGTGATCACTGATTGGCCAATCAGTGATCACATGCAGAGTAGTAAGCAAGATGTCACTTCTGACATCATTGCTTACTACGTGTGAAATCTGTGAATGATCACAGACATCTCATGGTACAAGGCTATTCACAACAGCCTTGCACCAGGTGACAAGCTGTGACCAATCACAGCTCACACAGTAGTTCTCAATGGCTGCAAGAATGCAGACAGAGAGAGAAAGAGAAATGATTCCTTGTACAGCCTTTATGAGTGTAAAAGAAATCCGTGTAAAAAAAAAAAAAAAAAAAAAAAAATCTTCATCACCCCCCACAAGAAGTACAGTGTCACCATGGTGGCAATGTACTGCTAGGGTAGTACAGTGTCACCATGGTGACAATGTACTGCTAGGGTGACTGTATAAAAAAAACAAAAACAAATAATATAAAAAATAAAATTAAAATGTAAACAAAAAGTTAAAAAATTATAATTTTTGGTTAGAAACTAATTTGGGGTTTTTTTTTTTTTACTAAAAAGATAACGGAATAAATTTTGGCCAAGATTTATGATGAAATATTATTTATTTGGAAAATTTTATAAGAAAAACACTTTTTTTTTTCAAAATTTTTGGACTTTTTCATTTACATAGCAAAAAAAATAAATTCCCAGTGGTGATTAAATACCACCAATATAAAGCTTTATCTGTCTCAAAAAAATGCTAAAAAAGTCATGGGTACAGTGTTGCATGACAGCGCAATTGTCATTCAAAGTGTGATAGCACTGAAAGCTGAAAACTGGCCTGGGCAGGAAGGGGGTGAAAGTGTCCAGACATGAAGTGGTTAATCACCTGCTTGAAGTAACTATTTGGCAAGTATATGGTGTGCGTAATTGGGGGGGGCTGCCTCGGTTCACACTTTGAAGCACACATGAATCGCACAGGAACTGTACCGCATTCCTGTTCAATTCACATGCAACTCAGGGAAGTGCAATCTGAGCCTATTCACCAATTTTGGAACTGCACTGCAACCGGATAGCACAATTGTTTGGCACCATGCAATCCTGTGTAGGCAAACACACTGTGACTTGCGTTTGGGTGTTGTTAACATTGCACTGACACCCACTGCAGATAGCAAGGGCAGTGCGATTTAAATATGGTGCGGAAAACGCGTACAGATTGCGGGTTTCCCCACACTGCATTCAAGTGTAAACCCGGGGCTGAATGAGGCTGTAGAAAAAAATGTAAGCACATATAGGCCTCATTCACACAGCACTGACGCTCATAAACTGTAAATAGGCTGATTGTTTATGCAGCTTGAACCCTCAGGCGCTACGTGCGGGCAGCCCATGTCAGATTATGGGGCTGCAAAATTTTGAATGTCTCCAGTGCATCCCTAATTCTTGGACAAGGCAAAATGCCACGTCTCCTATGGTGGTCAGGTCACAGCAAAGCATTACTGTGGTGTGAGCTGAGAAAAGTACTGCATGCATCCAATCAGATGCCAGGCACTATATAGGAACTTTGACAGCTAGAGGCACTGGCTGTCAAAATGCAATAGTCCAGTAGGAGATTTGTCCATTCATCCATTTGTACTGTTTAGCTCAGAGGAATCTGTTAGATTTTTTTTTTTTTTTTTTTTTTTGTAAGCCTGCAGGCTGAACAAAAGAAAATCTGTGTGTGTATATGGCTAGGCTGTGCCAATTCAAACCAGATGCATTGGCGCTATGCCAGCAGCTCATTCCAGGGTAGCCCCAAGACATGGACAGTGCCTTCCTTCCCATGGTGTCAATTCACATCAAAGCATTGTCAAGGTGTGCACTGAAAAATAGTACTGCATGTGCTCCTTTTTTGTTTTTTTTAGCTCAACAGGTTGCAACACAACTTAATGCATTGCAACACAAGTGTGGTGAATAGAACTGTATTGAAATGTCACCTGTGATCTTTACTTTGTTTTTTTTGTTCACAGAACATTAGGGAAATACCAATGCATCGAGACTGTGTCTCCAAGTGCACACTGTGACCGTTTGTTCAGTGTGGTTTGCTGGTGTGACCGAACATTGATAGCCTCACTCTCACTAACACTTCGCTTTTTCTAAATGCAGGACGAGTTCTCTGAGATGTATAGGCTAGGTTCTCTCTTGTACATCAGCTTCTGCAGGAGGTTTTGCAAGTTTTTTGATGCACACATTTCTGTTTAAGCTAGTGGAGGAGGAAACTGGCTCATGGGCTCAAAACACGTCACCCACATATTTTGGGGCATTCCCATGGAAGTCAATTGGGTAAACACATGTGATGCTGCCCCATACATACGGCTGTACTCCTTTGGCGCACCAAGCGAAAGCACACATGTGAACAGGCCCTGTAGAATAAACTGGAAATCTTATTGTTTTTGTGCTTCTGGAAATGTGCAACAAATTGCTCAGGTGTGAATGGTGGCTTCTTTTATGTCTCTTTGGTTTGGTCTGAGTTTAGATGTTCTGGGTTTAACAGCGTTTAGTTAGATCCTGGACATACAGAACTCTGTTTTCACTAACTGCAGCGAAACCGAACACACCTCAGTGGAGGTAAAAATGCACCGTGTGAAGGGTACCATTGAAGACTTGTTCACACCAGCAACCCGTGGCAAATGCACAGCCCCTGGTGTACTCTGAGCTATAGTGCCAATGTGTTCATCTCCGCACATGGCACTGTCTGCTTTTTTTCACATTCCATAGTGACATTTCAGTACAATTGTAATTCCTAAACCCTTCCTCCAATTTGGATGTACATACCCTCAAATGAAACCTGAGAGTGTGCACTTTCAGCCAATTATATTATTTCTCAGGTTTTGTGACATTTCTCTTCCATGTGGTGCCTTTGCTGACCGCATGAAATTGGAAGATGTTTTCTTTAAGTAACACCCTTTTATAATCAACTGTCAGCTGGACACCTGTTTAATGAATAATTAGACTCACCTGTAGTTGAATTCTTCTTAATTAGGATTTTGTTTTCTAAAATTTAGCTTTGTTCCTAAGATTTTCATTGGGGTGTATTCATTTTTGCAATGTGGTCTTGAATGAATTTGTTAGAATAAATACTTTTGTGTGTGTGGAAATTAACAAATCTTGTTAACAATCAATGGCCCGCATGTGTGTGAGTATTTTGTACTATAGTGTCCTATAAAAAATGTTGATTCTGCAAGGAACGTAAAGGTTTTCTGACAAATCTGCTGTACTCATTTATGCTAAGCACTGTATACACATGTACGCACATACCAGATGACCTATTTTTTATTTATTTATATTTGGTGTATTTATACTATACTGTCTTGGTGTGAGGAAGTGACTCCCTAGATTTTGAAATGCGTTGACATTATTGGACGGGACACTTCTATTTACCTTTTTAATACATAGCAAAATTGTGCTGAATCATCTACAATAATGGACATGGGGCTACATCCTTTCCATCTTTGATGGACAAGTCTAATATGTTCATGTTCCTATGCTTTTATGCTGTCTCTATAGTGTCTTTTTTAAAATACATTTAAAATAAGCATTATGCACTTTTATATAAGCCATCAATATGGTTTATCATCTCTCTGTGAACCTGAAAAGTCTGTTTTTTCAAACAAGCTTTTGTTTGCATAAGTATAGTATTAGGACATAACTGAAAGCTTCACCTTGACTTGATTTGCAATAGATAACCCTCACTGACTTCATTGTGCAAATCTAGTTTTGCTTTGTTCTTTCTATTAACAGTCAATAGCAACAGGCTAAATGCAGGCCCTAATTTTAGTAGAGAAAACACATTTATTACAGAAAAGATTTTGAGGTTCCTTTTATTTAAAGTGTATGTTAACTCAAAAAAATAAAACTGGTAGTGTACATTCCTTATTATATTCTTTTTTACATTCTAGTAAAGTGTTTCTAAATCCATAGTATTGTTTATCTTAATGCATTTCCTGCATTAAGGTTAAAAAAAAATGTCCCGGTAGCAGTATCTCCCCCACACCCCCCTAAATACTAAATGTCCTCGATCTAGCATTGCGCTTGTCTGTAGCTGTTCTCTTCCTGCGTTCACAGGATGCAGAGGCAGCAGTGGGAGCCATTGGCTCCCGCTGCTGTCAATAAAATCCTGTGTGTGGGGGAGAGGGGGGCAGCCCTGCTGCGTGGGTCTTTGGATGTATGCACACAGCCCGGCTCGGGAGAGAGAACACATGCTTGCCCCCATAGAAGGCAGCTTCTTATAGGGACAGACACAGAAGAGGAGGAGCTGAGAGTAATAGCGAGGAACCCCAGAAGAGGAGATTTGGGGCTGGTAAGGTAATTGCAACATGTTTTTTATTTTAAAAAGGTATCCTTTAAAATTACTTTTTATATCCAGCCCTTTATTAACTTAGAAGGTAAACTACAATGTAAATTTATGATGATCCCATTAGTCTTCTCCGTGCTGCTGAAACCTATCAATGTTTAGTGTATTGTAGCATTGTCAGGTAGCATCCCCACTTATTTCATTGGGCCCTTTAGGACACATGCTGATGCTGCTTGTTATATAACAACAAATAATGCAATGGGACAGAATAGTTGCAGTCGCATGACCGCTGGATAAAACATTTGGGCACTTGGGAGCCTTTTGAAAAATATAAAGGTTTTGTAGAACATTTGATTCCATAGCCTGTGTATTACCTGCATATGTATCCCAACCACGGCACCACCTGCCTGGAGGTTGCATGTTCTCCCTGTGCCTGCGTGTGTTTCCTCTGGGTACTCCAGTTTCCTCCACACTCCAAAGACATGCAGGTAGGTTAATTGGATCCTGTCTAAATTGTCCATAGTATGTGTATGTATGAATGTGAGTTAGGGACCTTAGATTGTACACCCCTTGAGGGTTAGGGACTGATGTGAATATACAATATATATATATATGTAAAAGTGCTGCGTAAATTGACAGCGCTATATAAGTACCTGAAATAAAATAAATATGCCACATATGATTTAACTATAATGAAACAAGGGACAACTTCAAATACAAATGGTCATCAAGTGCTCAGTTGCCTGATAACAAGCTGTGCCTAAAGCAGAACAAAACCCACCAATTTAGTGGTTTTCTCCAGTTACATTTAAAGT